TCTTTGGCTAAGTGGTTGTTGTAGTGTAGCTTTAGGTGTTGAATCCACAAAGAAGCTAAATTAAATCAACAAAAAGAGTTGTCACAATGAGAAATTAAATTAAAAGATGAATTCTAAAATAAAGAATAAAAATATTTAAATAAAAGATGATAATTATAAAGAATTGAAAACAATATTATGATGAACAAGACTTCAGGGTTCACTTAATTGATTTGTTTAACTGTTATAAATTTTGATTCATATTTATTACTCAATTGCATGTTTCATATCCCAAACAAACAATAGGAAGATTTAACTTTGAAGACCCATAATAATAACTAATGTATTTATTTTGAGAGAAATTAAATTCAATGAAGAACAAACTGATCTATCAATATGAGTAATCCAAAAGTGACAATATATCTAATCGACAATACTACAGTAAAGGATCAACCCGCAAAACAAATCTACCAATTAATTATATTCTAACAAATTACACATAAAAAAGAGCACGACTAATCTTATATGAAACTTGATGAATATAATTTTTAGGGTTTTCAAATCTGAAAAATAATTAATAATCTCTCAAAAATAAAATTAAACAATAAAATCTATGAATAAATCAAAATAAAATAACAAGCAAACTCCCCAATTAAGATCCTCCCTAGTCTTGTTGAGAGTTTAGCTGCACTTTGATATAATTTCTAGCACTGGAAAAGAAGAAAATAAAAGTCTAGGAATTGCTTCTCTAGATGCCAAACCTAGTTTTAAAGACTCATATTTATATTAGGAATAAAATAGAAGTGTTTGGTAACTAGGATAGTAGCCTTGGGGAATTATTTTTTTTTTTTTTCTTTCTTCCCGCACAACCTTGTCGAACAGGGGTTGGAGCCTCAATGAGGGTGCGGAACCCCTGATGCTTCTGTTTTGTGCAACACTGTCCAGGGGTTGGAACCTGAAACAAGTTGCGAAACCCCTGATGCTACGGGAAATCCTTTAACACTGGTCACGGCAACTTCACGGAGGTCACAGCAACTTCACGAACTTTGCTAACTTTGCTCTTAATCAAATATGGAGAAATTTCACTTTAGCCTTCAAAGTTCCAGATTTATCCTTGGATCCTCATCTTTCCAGCTCTTTGCATTTAAGTCCTTTTCTTCTAATTTTTCTCCATTTAACATCAAACCTTTAATCACTACAAAATTTGCACAACATGAATAAAATGAACACTGATGAAATTACTTATAAGAAAATACAACTCTTAAGCCCATAATTTCACAAATGTCATTAGTTAAGCACACTTTAAATATACATTTCTTTCTTTCATCACTGATTTGTAACATGGTACCACTTCTCTAAATTATGACATGTCCAAAGTTTAGTTGTGTGCTTTTTATTGCTAGAATAGAAGTTATGCCAAAGTAAAGACAGCACATAATAGAAGTCAAAGACATAAATTAAAGACCAATTTTCCATATAATGCACAATATTCCTACTTTTCTTTTGTTTCTAGTCAGTAGCAATCTCCACCTCACTCTGCAGGCTATGGGACATTTGTATTCATCCAAATGTGTGATGAAGAAAATAATAAAAATTGTATTCTTACAAATATGTGATGAAGAAAAGAATAGAAATATTACATTTTTTTGCATTGCCTCTTTATATCTCTCTTGTTCTTTCTTCTTCTTTTACTTGTTTCTTTCTTATTTTACAATACGTTATCAGTATAATTTGTTTTTATATGATTAGTCTCCAAGATCCCATTTGAGGTAAAGATCCAATTTGAGGTAAACTTTTGAGGTAAGATTTTAAGACAATATTTTATTTTTCAATTTCTAATTTCTAATTTGAATATTTTATGGTGTTATAAAAATTCCCTTGTTAATATTTTATTTTACACTTGTCAAAATATTTGAGTTCATTACCCTTAATAAATTATGTTTTGACTATTTGTCATGAACTCTTGATGTAGTAATTCATTTAGCTAAATTGAATCCTAAAAATTCAATTGTAAGGGAATAAAGCATCCCTTAAAAAAATAAAACATTCTTGAAGAGAAAAGATATCCTAGAAGGATTATGATAAAGTGATATTTCTTCAATATAAAATTTATAAAGAACTAAGATATGAATATTTGATGATAAATAATCTATCAAAATTATGGAATAATTTGGAAGAAAGATGATCATCAAGAGTTCAGCTTCATAGAAGACCATGTTCTGGCAATGCATGTTAGAAGACTTTTTCGAGTCTAAAAGCACAAGCTATACCAAAAACCCCTAAAGTAGCTTCAGCTTCCTAGAAGTTAAAATTCAGCACTCGTTTCCTAGTTTCTTACATTACTGTTTTACTTTTGTCATCTTTACTTACCCCTGCTTCAACATGCTCCACGTTTCCGCTACACTTAATCGGTTCCTTTCGTCCAACAGCTCTTTTAAAAACCATTTTGCCTTAATTAGTTTCTTTAAATGTTATTTTTTCACTTACATTTTCTTTAAGAATAAGGACTGCCTTACTTTATTTCTGCTAGCATGCTTTCCTTATGATAGTTATACTTCAATACCAATTGACGATTACTTCACTTGGAAGAAACTAGAGCCTAGAGAGTCATCAAAAAATCCTTTTATTGCTTTCTAGCAAAAGCAATTGGCACGCCTGAAATGTATCTTTCAGTGGAGTATTTTTGAGGAAGCAATAATGATTGATATATTTATAACATTTTTTAAATAATAATAAATGCTTTGCTAATAGCTACAACAATACATATGCTAAGAAATTGCTCCTTTCATGAAACCAAGGTCAAACTACGTACAGGAAAAACAGACCTAAAAGAATAAAAAATCAGCCTTATAACAAGCAAGTTTCCAAAAATTCCTATATGATATGTATAATCTTAATTAGTAAATAAGATAGCACACACAGCAATAAGCTAATTAGTTTGCTTTATGAAAAGGAAACAATAAGCTATTTAAGGTGCTCTGAAGGACTGACGAAGCCACGAGCATCGGTGGAATGAGTAGCAACATTGACTGTCTGAATGGTCTGACGCTGATAAACACTGCTGAACTTAGGAGTGTCAAAGTCGATGAACTGAGGAGCGTGAACACCACCATAGCCAGAATATTTAGGAGCGTGAACAAACGCAATGGAAACCTAGAGTAAAAAATAAAGGAAAAACAAACATGCAGAACAATTAGACAACAAACAAGGCAATAACTTAGTAGTTAGGTCCGTAATCTTATCTCTAAAAAACAATGTATAACCAAGGATAATAACTTGTTTTATCAAAACACTCACAAGTATTGCTGCAAGGGAGTTGCAATCAACAACTAGTCTCAACAATTGGACTTGCCATCATCACTTCTGTCATATCCACGGGATTTTTTCTCACTTGATTCAAAGTCATCAAGTCTAGTTCTCTTGGAATAATCTGATTGTCTGTTCCTCTCATGACCTTTACTTCTAGGCTCTTCTTCCTCACCTCTTTTTTCTCTTTGGCTTCCATACTGCAGCTGCTCATCATCTTTTCGATGTCGTCTATCTTCATGGTCAACTTCATCATCACATTTAGCTCTCTTGGAATAATCTGATTGTCTGTCCCTCTCATGACCTTTACTTCTGTGCTCCTCATCATCACCTCTTCTTTCTCTTCGGCTTCCATACCGCTGCTCATCATCATCTTTTCCATATCATCTATCTTCATGGTCATCTCTCAGGTGCTTGCTCCCTCTATGCTCCTCTTCATCCCTGCTATGCCTTCTACTGCCTCTATGGTCTCCATAATCTCTATCCCTCCACCTATTTTCACTTTGTGTTTCACTATTCTTATTATGTATTCTGCCTTCCTTTCGCCCACTGTCACCATTAAACTCCACTCTAGATTTAATTGACCTAGAGAAATCATCCCTTCTGCAATTATCTCTTTCTCTATTAGCTCTCGATGATTCAGAGTCAAATTTAGTATCCTCTGGTTTATCCCTCTTGTACTCTTCCACATCTTTTCCGATATTCCAGCTCCTTGATTTTGATTCTGGCTGCCCATCAACATATCCATCATCCAACTTCCTCTTGCCCCTCATCACCTCATGATTGCCCTCTGATTTCCACAATCTCTCCAATCTATCATAATCATTCAGACTTCTTTCATTTCTATCATCACGTCTAGTTGCACCCCACTTGCCTTTTTCATTATCAATGGCAATGGTTTTTCCAGCTGTCTTATGTTTTTTATGACTAATATCACCACCTGAATCACTATCACTACTCTTTCCAAGAGAATCATCACTGTAACTAGTGTGATCTCTATCAACAATTGGAGAAACAGAATCCCTTTTAACTGCCTTTTGCTCACGAATCACTCCCTTGCCATTTTTCTGGACACAAGTGGAATCAGAATCTTCATCATCAGTATCATGTCTCTTACCTCTTCCCCTAACCATTTTTTCCTTCCTATCAGTTCCTTTGTCAGAATCACTATCATTGGTACTATGACCTCTCCTTGCTATGACTTTGTGATTGCTTGCTCTATCAGATTGATCATCAATGTCATCCTGTTCTCCCCTGTGCTCCACAGTATGCTCATCGTTATGTCTTCCAACGGTCCAACCTCATATCTCATCTTTTCTGTACAATCATCTCTATCGGAGCCCACCTCAAAATCATGATGTCGCCTTGTTCTCTCATGATGACTTCCCTTCTGAGTTTTATGTGTAGACAGGCCTTCATCATGGCTAGAGTCATTGTCTGAGTCATGCCTCCTACGAGCATTTTGTCCTTGTCAACATCTTTGTTGGAAGGAATCTTTATTGTATCGTCATCATCACTAGAAGAAATAGAATCATCACTGTCATGTCTTCGACTTCGATGGTGTCCCTTGACAGATTTTGTCTTTTGTCTAGACAATCGTCCATCAAGGCTAGAATTATCATCTGAATTGTTAGAGTTGTGGTGTCAAAGCTGCAGCAGTGGGAGCAAATTGAAAGACGTGAGAGCTGCAACATGATTGCACAGTAGCAGCAAACTGACAACAGCATGAAGCTGCACATGGGCTGCAAAATGGCAGCAAATCTTTTGAATGTAATCTTATTTTAAATGTTTGATAGATTTTTACCGATGTTCTCTCCATTTTTCTTTGTGAAAAACATGAACATGGTATCAGAGCCTTTCATGATCTTTGAGGGCCTGTATGAGAGTGATTTGAGAGAAATCTACCACCATAAACCCGGCCAAACCCAAATAGTTTCCAGCAAGTTTTTCTTTCAAAAAAATTCTTTTTTCTTTCAAAAAAATTCTTTTTTCTGACCCAACACAGCAAACTCCTCTGACCAAAAATGCAGCAAAGATGCTGTGATTATGAAGGTTAACTTTAGGTCCTTCAATCTTTGAAAGTGGTTGATAAAAGGATGCAACCAATTTGTTAAGGCAGAAGAGAGTATGTGAAGCTGTGAAGTTGAAGGTTAACTTAATGTCCTTCAATCTTCTTGAGGCAAAAGATCTGCAAGAAGTAAGATAAAAAAAATGCTGGTTTGATGATGTTTTATGTTGCTGGTATGGGTGGTGTTTTATGCTACAGCATTAGTCCAAAAAGGCAAGGATGGCTTGTGAAGGTGCAGATTGGGACCATGAGAGTAGTCAACATTGCATCAAGTCATTTTCATGACCGAGTAGCCAAGTCTTTAGCCCAAGAAAGCTGTAGAAGATGTAGAAGATGATGAAGCAGCACTTTGAGGTACCAAAATCATTGTTTTATTTACTTAGAAAATGCAACTTAGTTGCAAAACCTCCAAAGTTTGTTTGAGGCAGCAAAATCCAAATAAGGAAAGCCATAATGAAAGGAGGAGTTGAGGTTGTTTGAGAAGGATGGTACGTGACTGTAGAGAAAGAATGTGAAAACCAAGCACAAGATGGACAACAAAGGGCTGATCCAGGTGCTTAGGCATAAATCTATTTTTGTTTTGATTTTACAGCTTTAACACCAAGGAGGAGTGTTAGAGTTGTGGTGTCAAAGCTGCAGCAGTGGGAGCAAATTGAAAGACGTGAGAGCTGCAACATGACTGCACAGTAGCAGCAAACTGACAACAGCATGAAGCTGCACATGGGCTGCAAAATGGCAGCAAATCTTTTGAATGTAACCTTATTTTAAATGTTTGATAGATTTTCTTGTATTAGGTAAAATATTAAGTGAGAAGAAATTATTTTTTATTATGTTGTTTTTGCTATAAATATAGCAAAAATATCAATGATATTTCTGAGTTGAAATAATATACTTTTTCTCCATTTTCGTTTATTCTCCTCCTGGTTTTCTCTCCATTTTTAGTTGGGTTCTACTCTTCATCTTCCTACCGATGTTCTCTCCATTTTTCTTTGTGAAAAACATGAACATGAATCACGGCTCCCATGAGACCTCTTCTGCTTGTCATTGGAAGAAATCTTGACAGCTTCATCATCATCACTAGCAGACTCAGATGAATCAGAATCAGGAGTGTCACCATCTGAATCAGAATCATCACTGTATGTCTTCTGCTTCTCTTGTGTATCTTTGCAGATTTTTTCTTCTTCTTCACGTCAATATCTACACCAGAATCACTGTCACTGTCATTCCTTCGACCTTTTCGATTCTTTTTTATGAGTTCGTCTTTCATGTGCTTTTTTATCATCCATTTCAGAAGAAAAGGAATCAGAATCATCATCTTTCCTCCTCTTTTCTTCCTTCCTGCGTTTCCTTGTATCATCAGCTTCTTCATTCCTTTTACCCTTAAGATTCTTAGAAGCCTTTTTCTTATCATCTCTCCCAGCTTCAGAATCATCATCAGAACGTTTCTTCCACCTAGCATCTCTTTCCAAAAAAGCATGTTCACGCTTCTCATGTGGCTTCCCATCATCACTTTTTCGACCCATTATTGCAGCATCACCATCACCTTCATCAATTTGATGGTTAGATTCAGCCTGGCCAATCCCAAGAGCAGCTCTGAAGGTCTCCATCTGCTTCTCCTTTCTGGCAGCAGCTTGTGAGTCTGTGTATCATTCCTGAACAAACCCAAGAGTAAATAAATCAACTCAGCCACACAATACATACACCATGATACTATCATAAACACAACACCCAACAGATAATATAGATATCAAAAATGTAGACAAGGAATGATACGATCTAGTTACCTTTTCTCAGACAGCACAATGCTTTCATCGGAAGCAGCAGCAGCTTCTTCCAACACCTTCCTCGCCTCGAGAAGTTTCTCGGCGATCTCAGCATCAGTGTAGCCCTGCTCAGTGAGTTTGTCTTCGAGCACTACAAGCTTGAGTTCGATCTGACGCTTGCGATCGTGCTCGAGGATGTCCTTATTGGCCTTCTTGATGAGGCCGGAAGTGTGATCGTTCGGATTCCGATCGGATTCGGAATTGTCGGGTGCCGGGTTGCAACAGAACCCTAGAAGTGATGA